GGGGGGGGGCTGCGCCCACGCAGCAAGAATAAAGAATTTGTTTTGATGCTACATGGGAACCTTCGTTGTCTTCGGCAGGAGCCTTTAAAAAGAAAGGTAGCGGTTACGCTACCTGAGTTTCCCATTTTGCTTTAGCAAAAGTGAATTATAGCCAGAGTGGAGGCGTATCTCATTGAGAATTGCCTCCGACATTTCATTTTAGAGGCCGGCCCCCCCCCTTCTCAACTCCACCCTGGCGCGGCTCTTTGTCAATGGCTAGAAAACGCTGTAAGTACAAGTGTTTTCAGCTCCTCCAGTCTGCAAGAGTGGCCTCAAACCACGCAATTTACATGGTTTTCTGTGGCTGTCCGGCCAAAGAACCTCGTAAAAACCTATGTTTTTTGAAGTGTCTAGGCTTCCAAAATGGTCGAAAAATGACCAAGCACATGGAAATATTTTGTCGGAAAGGGTTTTTTGGCTTTTGGAGGCTTCACAATGGCTCCAAACGATGGGACTTACACGGGTTTGTGCACCTTCCCTATCCGCGGCAGCCCACATCCTGCGAGTGACTAAGAAGATGATTGCCGAGAAGGGGGAGGAGAAGCAATCATGGGAAATCGCTTTTGGAGCCCCTTGGACTACGGAGACCTTCATCCAAGAAGCGACCAACAGAGGGCATCCAACTAGCCTTTTCGAGGGGTTAGCACCAATGGTCGTGGATGCGATACACAGCAGCCCGACTAGAGATCCCGCAGCAATTGCACGGAACAGAGCCTCGTTCCTCAAGAAGTGGACTACCAGACCAGCCCAATTGACCAAAGATGAAGAAGAGCTGCATTCCAGTCTACCCAAGCACAGGAGGCTCATCTTGAGAGGGAAAAGAATCCTCGTCCTCAAGGAGATGCTGGCAGAGTTGCAATACCCTGACCTGTCTGTTGCTGACGACATTCTCAATGGCTTCGATTTAGTTGGCACAGCTGGAGCAGAGGGAGTTCTCCCTGCGGATTTCCAACCGGCTACATTGACGGTGCAAGATCTGGAAGAACAAGCCAACAAAAGCAACAAAGCCATCATGAACTCATGCAAGTCAAGTGGTTCGCCTCTTGTTGATGCGGAGCTGTGGCAGAAGACTCTTGAGGAGGAGGACAAGGGGTGGCTGCAAAGCCTTGAGCGTGTGCCCTTGGACGGCGGGAGAGTCTCGAGACGATTTGCGGTCGTGCAATCCGAGAAGGTGAGGCCTATAGACAACTACAGTGAGTCCCAGATCAACAGTGCTGTCACCATCACCAACAAGTGCACAGTGGATGGAGTTGACACCAAACCAGCCAAGACCTGTGAATTCATGAAGGCCCTCAGATCCAGGTCCAAGTGCTCCACCCTGGTTGGGAGAAGCTTTGATTTGAAGAGCGCATATAGACAGCTGGCAGTGTCAGACAGTGATTTGAAATGGGCGAGGCTGGCAGTGTATTGCCCCGAGGAGAAAGCGACCAAGTGTTTCCAGCAATACAGCCTGCCGTTCGGGGCGAAGAGCAGCGTGGTTGCCTTGCTTAGATGTGCTCGCATGTTGCAGTGGATATGCCTGAAACTAGACTTGGTGACTTCGTGCTACTTCGACGATTTTATCTGTCTATCCACCCCAGCCTTGAGCAGAAGCAGTGAGCTGACGTTTGAAACTCTGCTTGACTTGTTGGGTTGGAAGTTCGACGAGACAGGAGAGAAGTCATCGGCGATGGGAGCTAGCATCTCAGCTCTTGGAGTCATTGTGGACCTTGAGAAGTCGTCTGAAGGCGTTGTTCAAGTCCAGAATACCGAGAAGATGCTTGTGCCCAAATTGCCAAGTGTTTCGACGAAGGCGTACTCACCAGCCACAGTGCTGCATCCCTGAAAGGGAGATTAGGCTTTGCCGAGGGACAGTTGTTCGGGAGAGCGACGAGGAGGCTCATCAACGAACTTGGGCAGCATGCGCTCCGCCCCCCGAAGAACAACAAGCTCTCAGAATCAACGAAGCGAGCTTTAGAGATGGTGGCGGATCAAGTGCTCACTTCTGCCCCACGAATAGCTGACTCAGACACAGGCGAGGTGTACTACATCTTCACCGACGCAAGCTTCGAGAGTGAAACCAAGAGCGGAGGAATTGGAGGTGTGCTGATCAACGGCAACGCTACTGTTGAGCAGTGGTTCGGAGATTTAGTCACCAAAGATTTCTGCAAATCGTTCATGGCCGAGGAGCAGAAGCAAGCAATCGGTGAGTTGGAGTCCTTTGCAGTGTTAGTTGCGCTGCACCTTTGGGGCAAAATTTTGGCTCGCAAACACGTTGTGATCTTCCTCGACAATGAAGGATGCAGGTACCTTATCCTCAAGGGATACGCCTCCAACAAGAACCTCCAAAGCATTGTGCACAACATAGCGAAGCAGGAGGTGGACCATTGCATCCTCCCATGGTTTGCCCGAGTTCCAACAGAATTCAACTTGGCAGATTTTCCTTCTAGGGCGACCCCACATGAAATGTTATCTTAGGCCTTAAGGGCCAGGCTTCCTAGCTTCGAAGACATGTGGTCAGACAAGAGCGGTCTTTGAGAAGGCCCTAAGAAGGGGGAGGCCAGGAGGGCCTTCAGATAAGACCTTGCTATTCCCCCGTTTGAAAAAGAAGCAGCTGAGTTTCTGTGCGCTGTTTCGAGTGACTGTCATGTTTGTAATGAGTGGTGCGAGAAAGGAATAATATGGGCAGTTGGCGAAGTCAACGAACTATTTTTTTCTTAAGAGCTTCCTTGTTTTGCAGTGATGGAAAACAAGCTTGCATTCATTCAAACATGTCATGTTTCTCACGTTCGTTAGTTTGGTTCCAGGGTAGTGGAGGGTGGGTTTCCGCTTTTCTTTGTCTGGCAAAATTGGCCCGCCCACCATCCATGCAGCAGCCAGACCTGGTGCAATTCCAAGCTGACCTCTACCGCTACAGAATGGCGGTTCAATTGAGATGTGATGGCCTAGGGGCGCTGATCGCTATGGATACCATGATTGAGCACTTCGAAGACATGGGGTTTGCCAATACCGCCCATATTGGCCCTCTGAATCAAGGACTTTCTGACCTTTGCAGATCATCTGATTCGACAAGCGACCGACACCCTGAAGAACTGGGTGCAGTGGCGTTGGTAGCCAACGCGCTACAATGTACCAAGCCTAGCCCTTCCGACCGGCCAGGAGGGCCTTCATATAGGACCTTGCTATTCCCCCGCTTGAAAAAGAAGCAGCTGAGTTTCTGTGCGCAGTTTCGAGTGACTGTCATGTTTGTAATGAATGGTGCGAGAAAGAAATAGCTATGACTTTTTCCATTGGAACTTAAAGTGAATATTTTTTTTGTTGTTTCTTTTCAGCTTCGCTCTTCAAGAGGAACAAGGGACGTGTTCTTTTGAGCGCTATGTGCAAACACCCAACAGGAAAAACACATTTCTCTGCAGCGAGGAATTCTTTCGGCCACAAGTTTAGGCCAACTTGCAACACAGCATGATCCAGCATGTCAACGTCAAATACAATTGTGTTTGTGGCGGCTGATTGCATCAGCTGGACGCGTACAATGTGTATACAGTTTTAGTGTTGGGTCTGGCCGGGCATCGTGAGTCGTGATGGCTGCCGTGCTGGCCCACGAGGCTAGGGGTGGCACCAAATTGCCAGCAAGATTCTATCTATCTCACTGTGCTTCGATTTTGCAGCTTTAGGAGTCAACCCTTCTCAAAAAAAAAAATGCGAGTTCCTTGACGATTTTCACGTTGTACAGGACGTACGGCGGAACAGTGTGAGGCCAGCAACTTGTGATGGATCTTCAGAGCCACAAAAGACAGTTTTTAAACCTTTGCAGGATTTTTGCTCAATATTTTGTGTCAGAGCGTGAAAGGGTCGAATCTGCTAGATTAGTGCGTAGAGAGCATAGGATTGGGAAACCGGGTCCTCCACGTAACTGTCCGGCAGGTTTCCCCCAAAAATGCATGGTTGTCAGGCTTCAGCGTGGCTCTCCTGTGCTGACACCCAAGTGCCCAAATTGAAAAATATCAATCAATCCAAATCGGTGCAAGTGGATCATTGAAAAGTCGCAAGCCCAATCGATCAAGGACTTCCTCAGTTACGTTTGTGAGAGGTACTCTGGACCAGGATCTGCTTTGGCAGAATGCCCAGAACTGGTCTCTGTGGATCATGGGTCAGACGGACCCCCCGAGCCCCATGGTGCTTGAGGTTGGTGGGACGTTGATCCGATCCAGAACAGAGCCACAACCTGACACCAGGTGGGAGGTTCATGGATTGAACTCCACCACAACTTTGATGGTTGAATGGGAATGAGTCGGAATGAGCGTAAAGCCTAAAGGCCTCAAGAAAGACAAAAAACTAGCGGTTGTGCAAATCACAAGTTGCTTGACAAGAAATCCACTCTTCATGTGTCAAACAGTGTTGACAAAGGAGCATGGAAGGAACACATTGAAATGGTTGAACAGTGGCAGGCGTCCCGGGCAATCACCGAATTTAGCTCCAGCTGCTGGAGACTGGGGCTCAGCCACAAGTCAAGCAGAACTTTGAACTGGGAGGAATTAAAAAGGGCTTCAGAAGCTGGCAGTTCTAGGTAACGGACTAGCAACTCTCAAATTGCTTTTCTGGAAAGCACACGCTCTTACCATCCCACATAGCATCCATCAAGCCGCATCTCATCTTCAGGTGCATCACTACGTACAAGGCTCTGGTTGCTTGCACCTCAGTCTAGGTTGCAGGCGATCGAATGAATTGCCGTGAGCTGATTGGTTATGCCGTGCACATGTGTGCACCTTCCATTTGATCTCTTCTTCCTTGGCTGAAACTGAAGAGAATGTCCTTTCAGCACAAGATGAACCTTGGAGAGCTTCATAGATCTTTGTACTGCTTGCAGTCGTTTGCAGTCAGAGGTGGTATGATCTGGTTTTGATGAAGGTCTGACTGTTGGAGCTCGCTGACAGATTTTTAGCGACTTTTGTTTCTCAGGGAAATGCAATTCATGCCGATCAGGTCTGAGTGCTTTGTGAAGGGCTCAGCCCGCAGCAAGAAAAACACAGGTTCCGAAGCACAGGTTCTTCTTGGTCGACCAGTAAGACAGTAGGTCCTGGAGTGTGGACTGAGGGCAAAGATTTAGAACATTTTCGGGGCATGAAGATGGTTTTGCTCAGCAAAGCTGAAAGGCTAAGACCATTCACTGTCGATCTATGTATACCTCTAAATGCATTCAAGCCTGCATTGCTTGGAAACAGGAAGGACCTGTGGGTGATACACCTTACGGTGCGCGAAACATGCTTGGCTTTCCATGTGTTAAAGAGCAGCAGCACCGGAAGTCAGTGAAGGAAGGGCAACGAGAGAGCTGTTGGCTTGGAGAGGCAGACCTAGAGCCAAAAGCAAATGACGCAATGTAGTTTCAATGAAGAAGGGACACAACAATAACGCAGCGCAAGAGATAGTCATCCCAACATGATGTGTACAATCCAACCCATCATTCTTGCAAACACAGCCATGAATCTTGGTTCCATGGAGCTGGCCAATCAGAACCTTCTCGCCCCAGACATGGCACAAGCCATTCAGCTCCTCTCTCGTGGTGCTCCAAGAGATGGAAGGTCAGCTCAGGTCGCGGAATGCTTGGTTCGACTCAAGGAGATCGATGGCATGACTCAAGTGGAGCAATGTCGGCTCTCGGAGACAGGCATGACTGAGAGGCAACGGATTGTGGAGGAGCAGCGTTCCAAACGCTATGAACGCCTTGCAGAGGTTATAGAGGCTTCAGTGAAAGAGGGGGCTGCGACCAACCGTGAAGCAATCTCTGCGAGAGCGGAGGTTTCAAAGCAAGCCATCAAAGGAAATGTTCAGATTGAGGAGTACCGTGCCAAAGTGTCGACCTACAATACCTGGCATTGGACACTTCTTTCAGTCTTTTGCACGGCTGCCATCAGTTCACGACGGCGAAGATCAGGCTGGATGCGAAGGTTGAATTTGTTGCCTTGGCTTCTTTTGGCCTATTTGGCCTGGCAGAAGCTGAGAAAGATACAGAGCTCCAACTTGTGGCAACTGAGTTCCAACTTGCTGAAGCTTCGATGGTTCTCTCTTGAACAATTTCAAGGTGACCCGAGTACGAAGTCGGAAGCCGACTCCAATGCAGAGAGTCAGACTCAGAGCACCTCCACCCAGAGCACTTCCCAAAGAGTCGCGACGCTTCCTGCGATGCCTCACTCCGACGAAGCCGACGCGGCGTCTCCGACAGCAGCGAAAGTGGCAGCTTCGGCAGCGTATGCAGCGTTGTGCAGAGACTTGCAGCAGTTTCTCGAACCAGCTGGACTTGATTCCTACGCAGAAAGTCTTGCTGCACATGGCTACGATGTGGAGGTCCTGAGAGAGCTTGAGCGTTCTGAGCAGGACGAAATGCTTGAGACGGTCAAGTGCTTGCCTGGCCATAAAGTGAAGTTTCGGAAACTGCTCGTGAGAAGCCAAAGCTGAGCTGTTAGGTGTTGATGCTAAAAAGGAGCACGAAAAAGATGAACAAGGGATGAAACAGTAAAGAATCCCAGGCATGTGAGGCGTGCAGAGCTTTTGCGCACCAATGCTCAGGGAATCTGCCATGCAGCTGGGACCAAGGCCCGGTCAGCTACGGGGGTGGGGTTGGGGGCTGCAACTTCTTTGCCACTCGAACGGGTGTGCACGCAGAGACCCCTAAACACACACACACACCACGTGAGAAGGACAGTAAGTTCTCCGAACTAGGAGGGACCGGTGTTTGATGGGACTTTTGGGATGAGCTCTCACTGATTCAATCACAGGGACGAGGAGCTGGACAAGTCGGGGCACCCAGAAAGATGGATCCTGTGAAAACAATGATGGAATGTACCGTAGCTTAGCAGTTCCTCAGCTTCTAAATTTTATCTGTTAACTAACATTATATATATATATATATTCTTACGCGTGTGCTAGCTTCAATAGGCAGAGGCACCTTCAGATAATCCTTACATTTCATGTAGAGAGTTTCGGCTTCTTTTTCCAGTGTGGCCCAGGGATGAAGCAGCAGGCACGCAAAACTTGCACTTCTCCCCAACGCCTCAAGGGCCTCAAGGGTGCCTCTTGGGATTGAAAGACACAGTGATGCGCAATGAGCACCATGCTGGGCTTGTTGACGTGAAGACAAGTGTTGCTCTGCCATGGCCAGACAGTCTGACTCTTGGGCAGGGACAGCGACTGCAGCACCTTCAGCTGCACTTGTGGCAGCAGCGAATGACTCAGCCAAGGATGTGAACTTCATAGTCTAAGTCTTGGCTCAACCTGTCCCCAAAAACAGTCCAGGAGAATGAGCTGATCTAGACATGCAATCCACCGACTGTTGCACGGTAAGTTTAATCCTCTTTGCTACATGAGCACAACTGCCCGGAGGTCTTCCGGAAGTAGCACGAGTTGAAGTACACTTGTACCCCTTGGACTGATGCTATTACAGTGTGATTTTTGCAGTGTCGCATTTCGACGGCTCCAGTGCGCGAAGTGTACCCTGTGGCTCACCGCGCATCCGGGTCGTCCCTTCCAGGTGCAAAGAGCTGCCAAAGCTGCAAAGCCCGAGGCGCGGAGCGGTTCTAGCCGGGAGCGGACTCAGCGGACAGAGCTCAAGTTTCGGTTTTTAAGGAAGGCACGTGTCTTGGAGCAGCTTTTCAGATCTTTTCAGCGTCTTGATGAGCTGGTAACATTTTATAGAACTGGTGAGGTGACTCTTTTTTGACATTGATGGCAACAAATGATTTTGCGACACAAAAAAGGGTTCCAACTGCTACATCACGTCGCGTCGCTTTACTTGCTGCTCGCCCCGCTTCTCGGGAAAACTGCCAAGGCTTTGGGCTTCTCGCCGGCCTTGGCACATCACCGGCAAGGGGCCTGAGGTTCTGGGGCGACGGGTGCCACAAACTCAATCAGGTTTTGCACCTGGCAACTTCACAGATTCTTGTTTGTTGAGGCTCGCGATTTATGCTGACAAGTAGTAATTATGTCAGAATCTAGCAAGGATCCAAACACCCAGACATATCACAGCATAAATCAAGAAGTGCACCGCAAACCTACAGGCCCGAGTTTGGTTGAAAAGACCATTTTCGCTTCGCATGGTAGCGGAGCGCTGGTCGTAAGCACCGGCCTCCGCTACCCACGTAGGCACCACGACCCTTCGACGCCGTAGAGCATCGGCCAGGGGATCCAGCTCGACAGGTTTCTCGCTAACCGAGGTTTTGCTGATCGCGTGCATTGCAGGAGCGGCTGGAGACAGGTGGAAGACAGGAGGTGAACTACTACTTGCCCCACGTTCCTTCAGGGAGCCAAGAGAAGCTTGAGGAAGTACCACGGTCGTGGTGGACTCGGTGGACTCATACCACTACGTGGGTAGACTCATCTGGGCCAGAAGTGAGGTCAGTGTGAAAGCCTCACTGACACTCCACGAGAGAGGAGAAGGCAGGAACAAGAAGAGACAGAGGAAAAGGCTGGCTGTCATTGTCCCAGCCAAGTGGAAATTCATCAAGAAGATCGAAAGGTTTCAAGACGAGACACAAAAGGAAGAGGCTTGTGAACTTTTACCCAACTGGGAGTCCCAGGACCTCATCAGCTTGATTGGACACGAATCTTTTGCTGAACCACCGATCACGACAAAGGCTCAGCTCGAGAGGTTGGACTGTGATGCAAGGAACAACGAAGTGGACAGGACGCTCAACATACCAGCAATGGTGGAGGTGGAACCAGGTGAAGTTGAACAGCAGAACGGATACGGGATCTCCACGAAGTTCGTTTTCACCTGGACGCACAGGTTGGAACAGGGTGGGCAAGGTTGGTTGCTCGTCAGTTCAAGAGCAGCATCGGCATTGAGCAGACCTTTGGGCCGGCTTTGTCACCGTGACTCTCGACATCAAGGATGCATTCGACATCAAGAAAGCCTACGTGGACGTAGACAACGTCATCTACAAGTTGGTGAAATGCCTCCCGGGCCAAAGAACAGCAGCATCTCAGTGGTTCCAACTGTTCGCAAAGACAGCAAAAGAGTTTGGGCTTGAGCAGGATGTGATGCAACCCACATTGCTGATGAAGACCAAGGAGATCTACATCACCATGCACGTGGACGACGTTTTCATGGTTGGGAAAGAGCGCAGCTTGAAGGCCTTTGTGGATCGCCTCAAGGAAATGATAAAATGGAGTGTTGAGGAGAAAGGCCCTTTTCGCGCTGGTCACTACTTGATGCGAGAGTTCGTCCTGTACAGTGACTGGCGTGACGTCAGGTGTGATAACAAGCAGTGCGAGATTTCGACAAAGGACATGGATGTCTTCAAGAAGGCATATCCAAAGATGCCAACAAGCCAGGAGCTCAGCAAGAGGGATGCGAGTGAAGAGCTGCAAGGTGACGATATCACCAGATACAGGAGTGCAGTGGGGCGGCTCATGTGGAGAAAGGCCAGACGCCCAGTTCAGCGTCCAAAGCCTTGCAAGGTTCATGGCCAAGCCAACAAAGCAAGCGCGGAAAGAATGCTTGGCATGTGTGCTCCTAGTTGTAGGGCACAGAAGGCTTTGGAGTGAGACTTTCAATCAGAGTGAAGGGCCAAAGCAGATGAGGCAGAGGAGAAGGAAGGAGGAACGTTTGCTTGAAGTGGTGTGCGACAGTGACTATGCTGGGAACAGGGATGATTGCAAAAGCACATCATCCTTCCAAATCATGTTGGATGGCAACTTGATGGAATCGCGCGTGCGGTCCCAGATGTCGATTTCATCATCATCAGGTGAGGCTGAGTTCGCCTCGATGGTTGCAGGATGCTCGGATGGATTACTTGTTTGGCGCATCTGGATGAAGCTGGTTGGAGAAGAACGTGAGATGAAGCCAGGTCTAACAGCTCAGCAGCCAGGTCCATGGCCCAGAGGCAGGGAATCGGAAGGGTCAGGCATTTGGACGCTGCCTTCCTTTGGATTGGATCCAGCAGAAAGAGACTTTTCTTTCACTGACATCGGCGCTGTTTGGCCTACCCTACGACTCTACATGTTCGGTGAACAGTGCCAATGACAGAGCGGGAGAAGAAGAATATGGAGAACTCGATCGCAGAGAGAGGACAAGGAAAGGAGCAAACAAACAAAGTGCTAAGGAGCAAGAGCCTACATGTTGGTCTGATTTGGCTGCTGTCCAATTTGGACAGTGTGGCAGGAGCAGACGTGGATGAGACCAGGAACGAAGAGGGCGATGGCTGGCAGTGGATTTGGCTGCTATGCGGCTTGATCAGGACCTTGCGCTTGGTAGAGTGGTTGCGGCGCCGTTTGCTCATGCGTGGCATGGGGCTACATGAAGCCCACCTCTGCCACAGTGATCCAGAAGATCAAGGACTACATGATCACTGGAGATGGCAAGAGTGACAAATTAACTCAGGCCTGCAATTGGGTGGACTCCCATGCATTGCAGCAGTTCGAAGAAGAAAGGATTGAAATGCAGGACGAGATCTTTCAATTGGATCTCTACATCGAAGAGGCAATTTGAGAAGTGAGGCAGCAGCGGGACATAAATTTTCAAGAGTTCCAGCTGGCCTCAAAGGCATGGTCAAAGACTCATGGAAAGGAGTCTGAAGACGTGGTAAGAAGATCCACTTTGCTGAGAACTGCCCGCATTTTGCCGGAGCAGAGCCGATTGAGTTGTGCTGTAGATGTTCGGGTGTAGGGGGCGTGTCAGAATCTAGCAAGGATCCAAACACCCAGACATAACACAGCACAAATCAAAAAGTGCACCGCAAACCTACAGGCCCGAGTTTGGTTGAAAACAAGATGGAGCCCACCAACCCGAATGCAAACACGTTCAAAAAGCTATATATGCCCAAATGACACGCTTGTAGGACACTCTTGTGGGACACTCTTGTGGGTCACTCTTGTAGGAAACTCTTGTGGGACACTCTTACGGGACACTCTTGTGGGACACTCTTGTGGGACACTCTTGTGGGACACTGTTGCGGGACACTCTTGTGGGACACTCCTGTGGGACACTCATTTGGGACACTCTTGCGGGACACTGTTGTGGGACACTCTTGTAGGACACTCTTGTGGGACACTCTTGTGGGACACTCTTATAGGACACTCTTGTAGGAAACCCTTGTGGGAGACTCTTGTAGGACACTGTTGCGACACTCTTGTGGGACACTCTTAAGGGACACTCTTGTGAGACACTCTTGCGGGACACTGTTGCGGGACACTCTTGTGGGACACTCCTGTCGGACACTCATTTGGGACACTCTTGTGGGACACTCTTGTGGCACTCTTGCAGGACACTCTTGTGGGACACTCTTGTGGGACACTCTTGTGGGACACTCTTGTGGGACACTCTTGTAGGAAACTCTTG